GGACACGACTACAAATCAGTGGTTAAGTTGTATTTACAACACTGTTCCAGAACAGTTTAACCCAAATATCCAGATGTGTGCAGCACATTTTATGGAGGACTGTTTACTGATCCTGGGAGAGTAACGTTAGACTAAAATGCCGGAAATTCTGACTCACGTAAGTACGTTTTCATTTAAAGGATTTGCCACTGATGTTTCAAACGCAAGTTTTGGGCAGTGTGGAGTAGCACTTGTTGTTTGTCATTTCTCTGATCACAAATGCAGACAGAGTTTTATGTTTACGCGGCGCGATGCAATGCAACGCAACGCGTAAAAAGACAGTATAAGTCATTAGAATCAGTAATTATGTCCCCACTGGATGCAACAAATGCCTCGTTTGTAATGGGTTTTAATGTTTTTGTCTCGTCGCTCCGGCCGGGACACGGCATCAACAGTATGTGAGGGGCGTAACATTTCCGTCTCACGCTTGAGGTATTCGGCCAATCACAACGCACTGGATAGCTGGCCAATCACAGCACACCTCGCTTTTTCAGACCGATGAGCTTTGTAAAAATCGACACGTTTCAAAAAGGCGGGACATAGAGGAGAAACAATAATGTACAGTATGCGGAAAATAATGTTTTTTTTTTTTTTTTACTTTAAACCGCATAAACATTTCATTACACCAAATACACAAAATAATGTTCTTTTTAGCAGCATCATATGACCCCTTTAACAGAACACAACATATAGACTAAAGATCTTGAAAACAAGAATCCATATTAGTAACTTATCGATTATAAACGAGAATTGTCAACGATATTGCTAATGTCCAGACAGCTGACTGCTTAACCTGTTGTAGTTTGTTCAAGCTGTGCACGAAACAGACACTGCTTTTCTGCAATTTACTTTGCACATCTCCGTTATTTTCAATTTCTCTCATGCTGCCACAACTGGAGCTGCTTTTAGCAGATGTTCGGCAGTGATGAGGACTGTTTTTCATTACGTGCAAATTTTTAAATCATAACATGTGAATTTATATAGTCGGCAGTGGCGATCTCAGCAAATATATCACTCGCAAATTAATATTTCTGGTTGCGAATGCGACTGTTTTTTAGATGCAGTCTGGAGCCCTGAATAAAATATTCAATATAAAGCAGAGGTTCTCAACCAAGGGGCCTCAGCAAGCTATGCCTCAGCAAACATCCAAAGGGGCCTCAAGATTAATTAAAATGATTTAAAACAAGACAAAACAAGCAATAGAATATAATACACCAAAACTAATAAAATTAGTAAAACACAACAAAAGATTGGAGTTGTACTGTTGTGTTACAGTGGAAAAACTGAATTTTAACCACTGATTCTTTGCAGCCTCATCTTCTGGAAGTGAAAATAAAACTAATTTACTTTCATCTCGACTTGAAGTTAACCACACAAACATACTACAGTGTTTGTGGGCAGGTCAAGTTGTTTGCGGCCGGCTAATGTAAAACATAGGTGGGCATTATGCAAATGTGTTGTGACGTGTAGCCGTCACGGAAGTGGGATGCGAATTACTGATGACTCGTTTAGACTGTTCAGAGTCTATTTTTTCTTTTGGGAGAAAATAACTTTTTATCGTGTAGTGGTAGACTGATATAATGCCAAGGCTGATATTTAGCATTTTTTTAATTATTGACATCAGCCTTTAAGTTTTTCTGTCTAGTCAATAAATGTCGGAAATGGGATTTTAATTTTTACAGCGCCATGAACGTGCAAACTGGATGCAGACAGGAGAGTTCTGCTGTCACTCAATACGCTTCAATGACAAACTTTAAATCCTTGATTTCTATGCTGCGTTGTATCCAGTTGGCCACTATGTAATATTCACGGTGTATATTTATGTAAAATTAGCATTACCTGGTCTTAATTTGAAGAAATAAAAAATTTGAGATTTACATGATTACCGAGTGTACTGTCGCTTACTGTTTACTTCCTTTTATTCATGTTTTTAAATGTGTCTATTGGTGAAAACTATAAGAAAATAATATGTGAAAATAAGTTATTTTTTCATATTGAATCATTTAAAAATGATTTCTAATTTAGTAAACATTATGTAAAATAAACACATTTCACTGCAGCATGTTATTTGCCACCTTTAGTGTTGCCCAGCGACAGCCCCAGAACATTACTGCTCTAGAGGAGATCTGCATGGAGGAATGGGCCAAAATACCAGCAAAGAGAAAACCTTGTGAAGACTTACAGAAAACGTTTGACCTGTCATTGCCAGCAAAGGGTATATAACAAAATATTGAGATGAAATTTTGTTATTGACCAAATACTTATTTTCCACCATAATTTGCAAATAAATTCTTTAAAAATCCTACAATGTGATTTTCTGGATTTTTTTTTCTCATTTTGTCTCTCATAGTTGAGGTATACCTATGATGAAAATTACAGGCCTCTCTCATCTTTTTAAGTGGGAGAACTTGCACAATTGGTGGCTGACTAAATACTTTTTTTCCCCACTGTATATGAGCTATAAATCTATATCGTTAGACCACTAGAAAATATCATAACTCGTAATTATGTTTACATGAACAAGCCTGAGAGTCAAAAAAATCTAAATAGCTGATGAAATCCATTCAAACTCAAAAATGCCAGCTGCAGTCTTACCCTCCTTGGAGATTGTCTCAACGATTGCCCGTTGTACATTCACAGTCTCTGGTTTATTTTCATCTTTAGGGACCTCAGAAACACTGGGGTGTATATCAGAGCCCTCTTTCTCACCAGCCATCTGCCCTTGGTCAGAAAACTCATCATTCCCAGCCTCTGCAACACCTGTCACAGGCAAACATGCAATGAGACCACAAACGTTTCAGTCGAATGCGTTTTTCATCATCATTAGTCAAAACATGCATCAAATGATCTTTGTGCATGCAAACTTGAGAACCTGCTTCTGTCTCATCATTGCAGATGGGTTCCTTTTCAGCCTCCAGAGCCACCTGCAGCCGCTCAATCAGATCCACTTTGAGGCCTCGGGTGTCCAGTCCACGCTTCTGCAACTCCTCTTTCAGCTCATTCACTTTCAGTTTCTTCACATCCACACTCATCATGCATGACATAAGAGGAGATCTCCCTCCCAAACCTGCCAAAATGGAAGTGAACCATGACGGTTTCCAAAACATCAATAAATGCTGATGCATACATATCCACAGCTGTGTTTTAGAACGTTAGCTCATTTTTAGCATCTGTCTAAACTGGTCACTAGCTGACTGATTCAAAAACCAGCTTAACAACCTGGTTGCTGATCCAACATGGTCTTCCAGTTTGCACCAGCTCAGACTTGTTAGAAACCAGTTGTCATGTTTCAGAAACCAGCTAGACAACTTTAGGATCATGTGATAGCTGGTTTGTTGCTGGTCCAAGACGGTCTATCAGCTTTATTCAGTTAATAATCAACTTGGATCCGCTAATGACCAGGTTAGACCAGATAGAAACCAGCTATTATTTCCCAAAACACAGCAACTGGTTTAAACTGACAGGGTGGGTCAATTACACAGCTAACTGGCTAAATCACGTGCGCACATAAGTTGTGCAGTAAATGCATTGGCAAACAAGCACTTCTACTATAATTCAGCAAATGCATTCACATTATGATGTGATACAATGTGAAATTACACATGCACATGCCTGATTTGTCAAGCGACAAAAAAACATGCTGTGCCAGCTAACTCGGCTCATGTAATTTGGCGTGCATTTCTCTAATGAAAATTCTAAAATGTCAGTTAAAAAGGTGTCATGGGCTTACCACAGCAAAAGCTCTTGTTTAGATGAAGAAGTGTGTTTGAGTGGTGTAAACAGGACTACAACACCGCGGGGGCTTCAGTACAGAGCAGCAGAAGACATACTGAATGTTGTTCATGCTGTTTGAGTGCTGCCTCCTACTGGACACATCTAGAATATACCGATGGCTTACAAGCAGGAGATTGACTTTCTTCTGGACAGACGGTACATGCCTTTATTCAGTTCATCATCCATCCCAGTCAATGTGTACTAATGTTACTCTTTTGTTCATCTAATACCCAATAAAATATATAACAAATAATATAATAATACCTATAATTATATAAATATTTCATATTTAAGGATAAAATCATTTTTGTAGAAAAACTGAAGCATCTCTACTAAACTAACTTAATATCCCACATTAGTGATTAATCATGAAGTGCATGAAAACTTACATTGTCAGGGTTTCCCAAACAGGGGGTGATGAAGGAACTGCAGGGGGGGTCGTAATAATTAGCCTAATTAAATCTTTAATATGTTAAATTACACTCGTGTATGCTGTGTGGCCTCTCAATGTTCACCTGACTAGTGACTGGTCTGAGTGTGCAATTCTACAAAACTTTCTGAAAAAATAATAGGCTTTTTTTTTTTTTTTTAAGGAAAATTCAGAATCACTAAGAATTCATATGTTATGAATAATTGACTACCAGTTTGCTAATATTATATAATCATTAAAAAAGTAACTGTAGTCCGATTATGAGTCAAACAAAATAATGTAATTGCAATTATTTCATGTTTGGAATCTGATTATGTAATGCAGGTTACATATCAGTTACTGACAAGCAAAATATATATTTATTTACACCTGTCAAAAGGTTGGAAACATGATTTTTAAAAAATATTTTAATGATGTCTCCTATGCTCACCAAGGCTGCATTTACAAGCGGTATATTTCCTGTGATGCAAAGCTGAATTTTCAGCAGCCATTACTCCAGTCTTCAGTGTCACAAGCCTTGAATAAAGTGAAAAATGAAGTGCTACAACTTTTGTATGTGATTCCTTAAGAAAGGCATTTCACAACTACAAAAATGTTTTCACAATTTTAAAACAATAAAGATACAAAAAAAAAAACAACCATCAGAATATTTCACTTTATTTTACAATCATAAATATGCACCCATATACACATGCCATATTGAACACAGCAGTCATTTATTGTAATGGGGATTTTCTTGCAGGACACAGAGACGGCTCTCTGTTTCCTATATCGAGGGACACATCCATATTTACTATATGGAATTTGTCATTCAAGTATCAAAAATTCAAGTGCATTTTCAAATCATTAATAAATGATGAATGCCCAACTCCATCAGCATCTTATATGAAGAAAATATTATGAAATAACGTCCAAACTGATGAGCCGAATAATAAGTGGTCAAACGTTGGCAATGGTTTAACAGTGTCATCAAAAAACTAGAACTTTCTAAAAAAAAAAAATTCTGTTTTAAATAACGAATAGGAAGCTTTAATTGTGTTATACTGGTGGCCACTCACTTAATCACACACAAACTCTCTGTTCCTTCCTCCTTTATATAGCCTGGGTGTTTGCTTGTGTGTGTGCGCGTGTGGGACGGCTTAACCAAGACTTTATGTGTGTATATATGTGGCAGTGCTGCACCACTACTGATATGCTCTCATAAATCAGTCTCTTTGCCCTTCAAAGAAAGGGCGTATTTTAGTGATGCACATTGTTACTTGGTATTTGGAGCCGCTGGGAGGGACAAAAGAAGTCTATTAACCTCTCTAATCTGGGCATCCAGTGTCTCTGTGGCTAGTGCAAGCTCTCCTAGTTGTGTCTGAAGATTGTTGATGTTTTGTGCAAGCTCCTCTTCTTTGCGTCTGGAGTTGATGGCCTGGCGGCTGTACTCGAGCACCATGCAACCTCCGCCGATGATGAAAATGATAGCCTCACCGAGCAACTCTGCTCCAAGCTCTGCAGCTGCCTCTTCATTCAGAGGTTTGATGACGGAGCCACGGAAACCCATAATTCTCATCTTTGTTCTCATCTCGATCCAGTGATATGCTACGGAGAAAACATGATGAAACTACATGACAGACTTACTTCAACAATTTACTGTAAAAGTTAAGATACACTTCGGTTTTGCCTTCATGCTCAAGATATCCAACATAACAGAGGCAACTGTATAAAAAATATAATATTAAAAAAAGAGACTAATTTATGAAAACTATAATATTAAAAAAGAGACTAGCATGTAAAAAAAACACAATATTAAAAAATATATTAAAATACACTAGTATTTATTTTATTATATGAAAAGAATAAATCATAAAAATATTTTAGAAAGGCACAATAATTGATTTAATTATCATTACATTAACTACTTCTGCCTGAAACATTATATACTGTTCAAACAAGACTACATAATATAACCAAAGAAAAAGCTCGTATTAGACATAGTTCGTATTGCTTTCGTATTATATATACATTTAATAATACTTAAATTATCATTTTATATACATTTTTATAGAAATATAACTATATATTGCTTTGTAATATTAAATGATCAAATAATTTCAACAAGCAGCAAAAGTTACTTTCAGTTACTCGCTGTACACTTGAGTCCCGCCCTCTTTAAGCAAACTCGAACCTCATTTGTCTAAAGAGAACCTTCTTTCTAGTATCTCATTGGTCTCTGGATAAACCTGCTGTTGAAAACATCCAATGACAACATCGCAGCAGTCATGATTGGCTAAATAGCAAATACAAGCAAACGGCTATTGGCTGTGTGTTCCTTCGTTCCTTTGCAGCCACAGACACCCTTATCATACGGACTGACTTCATCATATCGTTAAACACGAACAACCAAATGCCAGCTTACCTTGGGCCGGAGGAAGACAAATATAATTCTTAAAGAATTCACTTCTCCGCGCGCCTGCTTTTATTCTATTAGCCACTGGTTTGCTCAATTGTCGTACGCCCAGATAGAGCATCTTTGCAATTGGAAAGGCACCGACAACCATCTTGGCGGAAAATGCGTCATCTGAGGAGGCGGGATGATAAGGACGTCATGCGGACGATGCTCATGTGTAACATTAATATTCATGAGATGTAGTACGTGCGTTTCGCACAATACTAAAAATATTTTATTTTTATTTTTTTTAAAAAGGGAAAAATATATCCCCGATCGTCCTTTGTTTTTTGTTTTTTTTATATAAGTTATTCCCCCAGTTGTTTAGTAGCTTATATTTATAGTACATGGACATTTTTACAAAACAAAGTATTCTAAATAGCTCTAAAATAAATACATAAAAACAATCACGGCACAAATAAGAAACAAATAAATCTCTCAGCGCCCATACAGCGCATTGTTTACCTGCGCCAGCTGTACGTCTGAAACACCTGGGTCGGGTTTCAGAAGCAGTGGGCTGGACTGAATATCGCAGAAGTTCACAGGCAAGAGTTAAACACCGTTGAAATGTTTTCCAGCTAGTCATGTAACACAGCCACGCTCAGCTGGACTAAGTTCTAGGACTTTACGGCACGACAACCTCACAACTAGTACAGCTATTCAAGGTAACTTACAGGAAACGATTTGTGTTTTTGTGCTTTTGCCTGAGGCGGCCTTAAGAAGGCGATTTGGATTGTACAGCGGACTCGGTCGTATCCGTTATACCAGGCCTTTTTAGGAACGTTTTTAAGTATTACTGTAAAAAACGTGTACTATGTCGAAAGTTTTTTTTAAAGGCGCCTTTGTGTAAGGAGGTGTACGAGGAGGAGTCAGAGGCGCTTTAATGGAAATCAGATGTCTTAAAAACCGCACGAAGGAGCTTTTGAGCTCATTGAACTGTCCACTGAACAATGTATTATTCATTATTCAACCTGAATGATGTCTTTGAATCGCACAAAAGCTTATTCAACCTTTTATTTATTTAGTAATACTGTAGTTTGTAGTATGTTATGTAGGGATTATGAAATTTGGCTGACGATTAATTGTCTAAAAATAGTCACGGTTATTGCGATTAATTGTCTGTTTTAGGGCTTTGGCGATTATCACGATTAATTGTCTAAAAATAGTCACGGTTATTGCGATTAATTGTCTGTTTTAGGGCTTTGGCGATTATCACGATTAATTGACTGTTTTTTTATGGCTTTCATTATATAATTGTGATTAATTTAAGGGTTCAGTAAATAATTCTGATGTTATCTTTTAATCTTTTTTGAGTTATTATTTTGCAGTGTAAGGTTACATAGAGTATTCTAAGAATCGGCCAAAAAAATGTTCTACACCACTACAGAATATCAATACTGTGTTCGTGGCACTAATGGTCACTCTTTTAAACCCTTTGTTAAACGCAATCCACTAAATACTCACTTCTTCATTACAGAGGAAAAACTACATTTGAATAAAAATATGTAAGCTATGAAATTAAACTAGCTGACTGTATAATTTAGCAGCAAAAACAATATCTTGATAAAAAAAATCTTTGGTGCACATTATACAATTTAAACATGTTTATTCTGTTCACTATTTGTATTCTTACAAAATACATTCATAAAAATAAGATGGAAATCATGAGAAAAAGAAAGGCTTCTAATAATCTTTCTGTGTGCAAAACTTTGATAATAAAGTGAAACGCTTCAAACAGAGCGGCACAAAGCTCTTATGCAGATCTAGGGTGCAGAATGATGTGCTTGAAGTTTCAAAAGTCACGGCGCGCTGCACTCCACACGGTACAAACAAGTATTATAATGGGGAATGTATCATATTGGAGAGAGAGTTATACCGTGCTGTCATATCTGAACATGACGTGCTGTTTGAATGCTGAGCGGAGAATGACTGACAGCTGCAGCAGAAGGAAGATGAGTTCTGTAAACTTAAAGGGTTAGTTCACCCAAAAAGGAAAATGTGCCTGTGTTTAACTCACCCTCGAGGCATCCTAGGTGTATATGACTTTCTTCTTTCAGACGAATCCAGTCAGAGTTATATTAAAAATTGTCCTGGCTATTCCAAGCTCTATTAGTGCAGTCAGCGGGTGTTGCAGTTGAACAGTCCACAAGTCGTCAAATAAAGCGCATGCATCCATAATAAAACGTGCCTCACACGGCTCCGGGGGGTGAATCAAGGCCTCCAGTAGCGAATCCACGTGTTTTTGTAAGAAAAATATCCATATTTCAAACGTAATAAACACTTTTCTCTCACTTCCGTTTTTGTCATATATCTGCAAGCAGTTCCGGCGGAAGACATTGACGTTGCGTGATTAGTGACGAGCGCGGAGAGAGAACAAAACAAAACGGCGGTCACGAATTAGAAGTACAAACCGAGGATTTGTAAAGAAAAATTTTGGAGGATTTCGATATAAATCAAGAGGAGACTGGTTTTCCTTTGCTAAAGTAAGGAAACTTTGCTTCCTTTGCTCCTATAAACATACGTGCTGCGTCATCTGCCGGAACTGCTTCCGCGTGTGACAGAAACTGGAAGTGAGAGAAAAGTGTTTATTACGTTTGAAATATGGATATTTTTCTTACAAAAACACGTGGATTCGCTACTGGAGGCCTTGATTCACCCCCCGGAGCCGTGTGAGGCACACTTTATTATGGATGCGCGAGCTTTATTTGACGACTTGTGGACTGTTCAACTGCAACACCCGCTGACTGCAATGATAGAGCTTGGAATAGTCAAGACAATTTTTAATATAACTCTGACTGGATTCGTCTGAAAGAAGAAAGTCATATACACCTAGGATGCTTCGAGGGTGAGTAAAACACAGGCTAATTTTCATTTTTGGGTGAACTAACCCTTTAAATTTAACAATGTAAATACAATTATGTCCCTCACATTAAGATATGGAATGGCTTCAGATTATATAGGCTATACAGTGCATGAAAAGCAAACTGGTGCTCTTCTGTTTCTTTTGGTGTATGACAGCTCCTTGTGCCGTAAAAAGCACAATAATCGGAGTTGTCCGAAACAACCGAGGTTGGATCAAATAATCGCGATTAGACGGTTATTTAATTATCGCGACAGGCCTAATGTTATGTTGTTATGTTGTAGTTTGTTATATTATGCTTTTCAGAATATTAATACATAAAGCATCCTGAATAAGGCCTGTCAAGATGAAACACGTTTTTAGCAGTGTTACTTAATTATTATTTATGATACTTACATTTTTTTAAATATATTTTCCTTTTATATTTTGTATAAAGGTTCAATAAACTGTTATATTTTTCTGACTTAGGCTATATTTCACAGGACTAAACATGTTAACTGATTGTAATATGATACATTGTTCTGAAGCAGGTCAGTAATAAGCGCCTTCATGTCATTTTTGAGCAGGGTTGGGAATGGGTCCAGCATACAGACCTGATTTACCATTTGACTAAATGCTGTCAGACCCGGAACCAGCTGAACTGCATATCTTGTCTTATCCTGTCCTGCTACAACTTGTTCTGAGTTTTCTGGCTCCCAGCTTTTCTGGGACTTTGTAAACACTGACAATTTGCATGTTGGTTCAGATGCATGCCAGCCAATCATTGTGTGCACTGCGTTTAGGTTTTAAAGGTTGGATGCAGTCAGGGTGGATTTCTTGTGTCTTGGATGTCTTGTGTGATTCACAAGGAATGTAAAGCTTGTAATTTCGAAGACTTGAGAGATTCCAGAGGCAAATGTTACTTGAGACAAATTAGAGTGCCACAGGGCTGCACAAAAACAAACATCCCTTAAACAGAAGTTACTAACTAGTATCATAGGTCAAAGACTGTTATATAAATGTGTGTGTGTGTGTGTGTGTGTGTGTGTGAGTGTGTAAACCCACCTATGATATCAGGATGACTTAACAGGGTTTTGTCAGAATGTTCTGTAATGGCCATCATTGTCTGAAATTTAACCTGACACCCAGTCACTCCCCAGTCTTGTCAAACCAAACTGTTACACCAAATCTGATAAAATGTCTTGATTTCTGAGTTGATAATTCGACATTTCAACAGTGTCAGGAGATGCAATATGCTTGGCAGTTGCTGATCTGTGTGATTTTGCATATGATTTTGTGTAGATTTTTCAGTATTGGGAGTTTTATGTCGCATCACTAATTTGATCATTTACTCACCCTCATTTTATTCCAAACCTGACTGACTTTCTTCTGTGGAATGTTTTGAAGAACATTCAGTGACTATCAATGATTCAGTTAAAACACTGAGATATTTGTCAAAATATGTTCTTTAGTGTTCCACAGAATGATGACAGAATTGTCATTTTGGGGTAAACTATCCCTTTAAGTTTTGTCACAGGAACAACACAGTTTTAGGAGTGCATCAGTGTGACAGTGGGGTGAGGCTCGTAAGATCCAAGTGTTTTGTATCCACTCAGTAATATGCTTGGCAGTTGCTGATCTGTGTGATTTTGCATATGATTTTGTGTAGATTTTTCAGTATTGGGAGTTTTATGTCGCATCACTAATTTGATCATTTACTCACCCTCATTTTATTCCAAACCTGACTGACTTTCTTCTGTGGAATGTTTTGAAGAACATTCAGTGACTATCAATGATTCAGTTAAAACACTGAGATATTTGTCAAAATATGTTCTTTAGTGTTCCACAGAATGATGACAGAATTGTCATTTTGGGGTAAACTATCCCTTTAAGTTTTGTCACAGGAACATTCCGCCCACAGTTTTAGGAGTGCATCAGTGTGACAGTGGGGTGAGGCTCGTAAGATCCAAGTGTTTTGTATCCACTCAGTGGTCCATGTCATGATAAAGGTTGTTGAGCACAGAATGAACTGCTCTTGAGTGTCCGCTCCCCCTCAGAAGCAGCCTTCTCATGGTTTTGAAATAAAAACCGAAATCCTGTTAGTTCCGTACTTATTGTCATCTAAAAAGACCCTTGTAATCAATGCTGATCCTTTAATTGTGAGAGCAATGTTCTGAGCTTTTGTGCTGGCCAGTGTTCAATATTTGCATATTTGTTTAATAGATTTTTGTTCTTCATCTGATGAAACTCCTGCTCTGTCTTAGCTGGTTATAAATCATTACACCTTTTTAGCAAGGCCCTATAAATTCCAAACCTGTTACATGAATTCATGCTCTAATTCATTCTTATCAGCTAGACTGTGAAACGCGTCTCCACAATGAAGGTTTTAGTTGGTTTCAATGTCATTAGGTATGTAATGTCTGATATGTGTCATGAATGTTCACTTATTATGACTTAAAGGAATAGTTCACTCAACTTTTATGTATGGACAAATAAAAACGATCTGATCTTTCAAAATGTATTTTGTTTTTCACAGAAGAAATTAAGTCAGAATGACTTCAGTGTGAGTAAATGATGACTGAATTTTCATTGTTGGGTGAACTGACTCTTTAATAGAGCATCTGGGGAACTGTGGTGATCTAAGTGCAGCTTGGGTTGGGCAGTATTTATATCACATGATGATTTCATTATGACATACTGATGAATGAAATTCTCATCATGAAAATGTTCACTTGTTGAAGATAGTGATTGGTCTGTAT